TTTTTTCCTTCTTCTTTTATTTATTTATTTATCTATCTATTTATTTATTTATTTTTGTGATGTTGGTACCTTTGAAAAGCACTGACCCTGATCAGGTATTCTTTAGAATGCCTCTCAATTTGGATTTGTTTGAAATTKTTCTTTCTAGATTGGGGGGTGTGTGTCTGGGGGGAAGAACACCACAGAGGTAAAATGCCACTCCAGTTGCATCCTAGGAGGGGGTACATGATATCAGTGTGAATTTCTATGTTGGGTGGTGTCAATAGCTTGCTTCTGTTTACTGCTAAATAATCCTTCATTATTTGCATATATCATAGGTTTTCTTTTTTCTTTTTAATCCTTTCAGCAGTTGAAGGATATTTGGGTTGTTTCCAGTTTTGGAGATTATGAATAAAGCCGCTACACATTCATAGACAGGTCTCTGTGCAAACATAATTTTTTTTTCTCTCCACGGATAAATTCCTAGGTGTGGGGTTGCTGGGTTGTATGGAAAGTTTGTGTTTAACTTTCTGTGAAACTGCCAAACTGTTTCCTAAAGTGGCTGTTCCATTTTGCATCCCCAGCAACAACATAGGAGCGTTCTCATTGCTGTCTCCTAACTTCTTTTGATCAGTGTTCCAGTTCCTGACGCATTTAAAAATACCTTTAAGATGGGTGAGTTTTGCAGTGCGCCCCTCTAGTCCAGCCAAGAACCCGCTTCATGTCTCCTAGCCTCCGCACATCTTGTTCAGCTTTATGGAAAAATTAGCGACAACTTATTTGTTAGACTTTTGGGTCTTGTCTTCTTCCCCACTCCATTCCCATTATATTTAAGAAGGAGTTAGTAAGTAGTAATGGGGAGAGAAAAATGGAACTTAAGGTAACTGAGGGAGCAGCCCCTGTCTCCCACTTCAGTAACATTTTACCAAGTAAACCCCGGGGACACTTGTGACCACATTTTTGTGCATTTGTGTGCAAGTACAATGCTAAAGTCTTGGGTGCACATAATCCTTGAAATAATGAGGAGGACGACTGCTACTGTCCCTATTTTATGAGTGAGAAAATGGAAACTCAGCTGGGGAGTCTTGGTTTGACCACGGGTTTGTCTGGCTTCAGAGTAAACTCTCGACACTGCTCTAACCTGCTATCCTAGAGTCCACCTCCGGGGTGTATTTAATAACTGGCTTCTGAAAAGAAAAATAAAGGGTGTGAAGAAGGAAAAGAAAGATTGGTTCTTAAGGGAACATTGCCTGTCTTTGAGTTGTTGTTGTTGTTGTTTTTCTACAGCTCTCAATTTCTTGCAAATAACTGGATGTAGAAGAAACTTGGCCTGGGAGTCAGATGACATGGGCTCTAGTTCTGGTTTTCCACCAACTTTGAGTTTGTTTTTGGTAAACCTTTGGTCCCTGGGTTTCCTCATCTGGAGATAAGTGTATTGGATGCAAAAGGCCCTAGGACTCCTTTTGTGCTGCCTTGCAGTGGGCTGGCAGGTAGGAGAACTTCTGTARCCACTGGGAACTCTAAACTTCTAGCACAAGTGCCTGAGGGGGTGAGATGGGGAGGAGGGGTAGCTTCTAAAAGGGACCCTGCAGGGGGTTTTCCCCCCAAACCTTCCAGGCCTTTTATGTCCATCCTTTTCCCTCTAGCAACAGCATCCCAGTTTTACCTGGAGTAATCATTCTTTCTCTTTTTCTCAGTTCATGGGAGACAGAGTCCAGGGACAGGCATATAAAAGCTGGTAAACATCATATTTTCAAGGGCTGGGGATATAGCTCAGTTAGTAGTAGAGTGCTTGAACAAGGCCCTGGGTTCAATCCTCAGCACCATACCCCACCTTGCCTCTTGACCCCAGTGGACCCCAATGGAGGAGTAACACAGGACCCAAAGCAGGCTCAATTCCAAGAAACTGGCTGGAGATGTTGGTGGCCATTTTGCCTCTCGGTGAGAAGTTTGTTGAAAGAAATGGAAGGAAACAGAGCTGGGTACTGCTGAGGGGACAGTTGTGGAGGATATCAGCTGAGTCCCATTGCTCCTCAATCCAGCTGTGCCTGAAGCCTTCACCTAGACTTAAGTTACCTGAGCAAGTAAGTCAGTTTGAGTTGGATTACACTTCAGTAATGCTGTGCTCTTTGATCTCTCTCTCTCTCTCTCTCTCTCTCTCTCTCTCTCTCTCTCTCTCTCTCTCTCTCTCTCCCCTCTCTCTCTCTCTCTTCTGGAATCCCAGTTACTTTTGTTTAAACAAACAAAAAAACATTAACTCTAAAAGCCCCATGAAAAACTGGAGTCTAAGGCAGTATTGGTTGCTGCCACTCCCTGTCCCACACCCATCATAAATACTGCTCATTTACAAGATTCCTTCTCCGTGCAGAATTCTTGGCAGCCTTTGCCAATCATTTGGAGCTGTGTCCAGGCTGAAGTCTGTTTTCCAACAGAGCTGAAGAGACCTGCATCGCTGCATTGTGAGTGTGCCAGTTGGAGGACTGGGAAGCCCGTTGACATCAAAGCATATGATTAAGTTCCATGGCTTGTCCGGAGGACACTCGTTGATCACAAAGACAGGTGCAACTTTGCTATATTGGCAAAATCAAACAGTGTTAATATTTAGCTCTGAGTCTTGGCCAGAGTGGCTCCTCAGGAGGGGTCTCTGCAATAGCCACTGAGGCAGGGAAGTCTGGAGTCTAGCTAGCCTGCTCAGGAGCTGCATGCAGCTTGGGCAGAAGCGAGAGAGGCCTGGCAGGTGCCGTCTTCACCCAGATGGCTGGGCAGCCTCACATGGCACCTTCAGCGTTCAGCTCTGGCCCCACACCACTTGTAAAAACCTAGCTTAAAGCACAATGGGTGAGCCTGATCCTCAAGGCCCACCAGTGGGCCACTCAGGGTTCTCCCAGGGCTGTCAGCTTCGAGCACGTCACGTTTTCTCAAGGCATGAACCTCCAGCAGAAAGTGTTGGTTTTTCCTAAGTTGGTGCATTTCTAATTCTGCAGCTGACGGATGCTTTTCTCACTCTCCCAGAACTCAAAATCAACTTGACATTTCTAAAATTACATTTTGAAGGGAATGAATCTATAACGTGCACCAAGCACACATGCCAGCTGGGGGGAAGAAAAAAAGGAGGAAACAGAATCATTTCTGGCTCCTTCCCTCAAATGTGTGTATTCTTTATCTGTTTGCAGGGAGGCATTTCAGACCATGGAAAGTGGTCCAGGAACAGGAACTCTGCACTCTCCAGGGGTCCACCACCATTGTGGCTCACACTGGCCTCATGGCATGGAATGAAAACAAGGGAGAAACAAGACTGGACTTGAGAGGGTAAGGCACCTTTGTCATCTCCATGCCAGAGCCAGGCTGTGGGCAGCTGGGGAGGGCCCCTGAGGAGGATCCCAGAGGAAGCCCCTGGCGGGCTGGCGCACACAGCAGCTGCTTCTCCTTAAACTGGAGAGGTGGTTGAGGGGCTTTGTGTGAGCCTCGATCAAAACACGCCTATCAAAAGGGATCAAGAGGCTGGCCAAGTGGACTGCAGATGGGAAGGGGAATGGAATCCTTTTCTTTTTTTCCTTTCTTTCTTTCTTACAAAAATATAAAGAAAATTCAGGGAGAAAATGTCTCCAAGGGCAATTCTTTCCTGTTCCTTGTAGCTAAGCCTGTCCAAGCCACCACAATGCTCTCCCCTCCACCCACAGATCAATTTTAAAATGCAGCCTGTTAGTATTTAAAGTAATCCATTCAAAATAGAAGAACCCCAGCCCCTGGGCAGAGCGAGCCAGGCCCTCCAGCTTCTGCTCCTGGAGGMGGCTGTGGGTTTTCGCAGCCACAAATGTGACCCAGGATGGAACCTGGACCCTTAGCCAGCTTTCCACACAGGACAGCTCGGTTTCGATCATTAATCCCTTGTTCCCATTGGTGACTCTAGGGTACTGATTGCTGGGGAGACAGAAACCTGGGGAAACAGGGACTCTGTTCTCTGGGGTTGCAGTGTCTCATGGTAGAGGCAAATGCCTCAAGCACAGGCCTGACCAAACCAGGTAGAGTGCCACCCTGGCATGACAGGAGGGCAGAACTGATGAATGCTCAAGGAGGAAGGAGACCTGGGGGTCTTTACTTTGGAGAGGTCCCTGGGGCAGAGGGGTCTCTGAGGGGTTTTTGAGGTGTACAGGTGTTATGATGGTGTTCCAGATGGGGTGTACAACAAGCACACAGGTCCACAGATGGGAGCTTTGGGCACAGCAAGCACTCCCATGGGTGCAAGAAAGGGTGTGAGGTAGGGTCCTGGTCCTGTATCTTGATATCCTCAAAGTCCATGAATAACAGGGTAAAGGATCTGTGAAGTGAAATTCTAACAAATGAGACTCCCCAGGGGCCTGTGCTGGGCTGGAAAGCCAGCAGAGCCCATCCATCACCTGTGGATCCTTTTCTATAAGAGCAAACCTTCACCAGTCTGCCTCCAGTCCTCCAGGGAGGTTTTTAGAGGACAAAACTTATTGCCGTGGGCCATGCCCTTCCATGAGGGTGCTTCTGTGAACATGGGAATTTCTGGAGATCACTTCAGGAAGCCCCTTCAGAGCTGAGGGCTGAAGCTTCAGGAGCCTAGGACTGGTGTCCTGGCCTCCCCCAGCAGATAGGATCATTTCCTGGCTGATCACTGATTCTGCTCCCACTCAGGGCCTTGAACTCATTGAACAGGGTGTGTATTGGCTCCTGTGAGTGTGTGTGGCCCTCACTTATCAAGTCACCTGTGACATGGGAGGGGAGGGGTGGTGCCAGCTCTGGAACTTGTAATACGGGTAGAGAGTCAGAGCTGATGATGTGCCCCAAACTGTTGCTCCCACCCCTGCCTGGGTCCCCCTAAAGTTCCATGGCCACCAGTCAGGCTGCCTTTTCTGAAAGAGAGATGTATCGGGTCCAATCAGTAGCTTCAAGGCTGCAGGTAGGACTCATCCCCCTCTTCTGGGCCACTCCAATCCCCACACCCATGGTGTCTCCCTCAGCACACAACCCTGGCTCCCCACAACAGACTCCATGACTTTGCATGTCAAATGGTTTTTTTTCTGTTTAATTTAAAAAAAAAAGTCACAAGAGGCTCTAGAAATACATGCTTTTAAATTCCAGCCATGAAGAGGACAAAAGAAGACACTGATATCTGAAATATGGCTGCTTTCCATAGAAAGGTTTGTGCAGCGGAGACCCCCAGCTCCTCCATCAGTGGGAGAACGTGTGGCCCACCAGGCAAGCGCTGTGGGGACAGTGTCTTTGGTTGGCTGGAGCTTCATCCAGAGCTCAGTGGAAGTTGGTTTGGCAGGAAGAAGACCCCCTCACACAGAGGCGGGGGTATAGGAGGACACATTAAGCTCTGTTAGCCTCCTGCTGCCGCTAAGGACTGTGGGACTTGATATTTAAACCTCTTACCAAGTAGGCTTATGATATGAACTCTGATCTCACAGTAGCCCAGCGACACCACAGTGGCCACGATGGGACATCGGCAGGAGAACAGTGGCCGGGACACTGCTCCTGGACACTCTTGTACTATTTGGATCCACACAGAGAACACACTAAAACCCTCTATACCAAATCAGAGTAAATAATTATACCAATATAAACAGGGCCCTTGACCCTTTTGTTTTATTAAAATGGCACGTAAATATGAAAACAGCATACTGATCGCATTATACTTCTGCTAGCCCCAGGTGAGGTGCTGCGGAGCCGCAGGAGAACTCCTTCTCAGAGGCTGCAGACTCATGCATTGAGCAACTCATGTTCTTTATCGGTTTTCCCAACAGCATCAGGATTGGATAAGGGGTCGAGGTCAGCAAAGAGGCTGAACCAGGCAGTCAGGTCCGAGGCAGCCTTGGCAGGCTCTGGGGAGAGAAGAGGAAACATCAATAAACCCAGGAGGTAGGAATGCCTACCTCCACACCATGCTGGTAGCAGGCAGTCTAGCATCATCTTATAAAGGGATAAATCCCATTACCCTGTCTCTAATGAGCCAGGAAATAGCATGTCCCTGGTTGGCTGCTTGGTTAACTTTTCAAAGCCATCGTCTGAAGATCAGTGAAAAACAAAGTTCTGTGTTAACTAACCTCACCTTTACTCCAACCCCAGCTAATGACCACAGCCCACGGAGTTAGCTGCCAAAAACCTCAGACCCCTCTTGCTTTACCACAACCAGGAAATAGTTATTTCAGATATCAGGCTGAGGGAGCAGGGTGCTTTCCAGTGTGTACTGGAGGAATCCCTTCCTTCAAGTCTCCTGGGTCAGGAGAGAGATGGTGACTTCTCTCTTTACCCTTCCAAGCCATAGGTGCACAGGGAGCTATGTCCAGGGCTGGCTTCTCCTCTTCTATCAGAGTCACCACCTTCTTCTCTCACCCTCTCACTCCATAGGAAGGAGACTCTGGATGTGCCTTTCTTTCCCCAGTGAGCTCAAAATCTCCTCATCTCCAAGATCCCGGGAGCATTCCCTTCTATTGCTTTTTCACCAAAACACCTAACTTCCTGAATAGCACCATCATACAGTCAAATTATTTTCCAGATGAGAACATTTTCAAAAGAGGGCCTCATGCAAGTGATTTCTAAATAAGTCATGGCTCTTTTTTTATATAAATCATTCCACATGAGAATCTTAAATTCACTGCCTTGGATGACCCATGCTTTTCTTCTTCTCTGACAGGTGGGAGTGTCAGAGCCTGAAAAAAGAAAGCATCACTCTGATAGGGTGTCCTTCTAGCCAAGAGCAGCTAGGAATGTGCTTACCATCTGGCTGGGAAGAGTCTCGAGAAATGTTGGTAGGGCAAGTATCTAAAAGTGGTGAAGGGATGAAAGTGTTGGGATTATATCCACAGGGACTTTGGTCCTTTCATTAAAATGACACCAAAATGCTAAGATACTGAACTGATCTGATCACTTTAGGCTTCTGATTCCTTCACCCTTTTTCCCTTCAAAATCTCTAGGAGTTATATTACTTYCTAGTGACATAATCAAAGTATCTATTACAGAAAGAAAAGTACTGCCAGCAAGAAGAGCTGATAATATGCAAGTTATTCCTATATGTAACCTTAATTGAATTCCATGTGGTCAGCCTCCAAAACACCTGGTTTCTTTTGCTGTGATAAACTGGTACTTGAGAAAGCTCATTATAGTTTGACTGAGGGTCAGGGGGATGTGGGAACTACTTTAAAAAAAGGAGTTTCATCTTCATCATGTAGGTGGTTATGCAAGGATACTCTAGGGGGCAAGACTGATTTAGGTGGTTCAGTCTCTGTTCTTGATAGGCTGTCAAGATATCTTAAAGACATCTCCAGCGAAAATGGGTTACAAGCTCACTTCCYCTTCCTCCTACCTCTGTAAAAGAACTTAGAGATCATCAGAAAGTGGTCATGGCCTTCACCTGTGAGGAGCCAGATGCTTATACTCTGGGGATCTTTACATTTCCCCAGGCCTCCACTATTGAGGGCAAAACCAGGTGTGACTTATTTGCACAACCCTTAAAAGAACATCTCAAGAACCCTTTCTGATGATGATGACATAGACATTTTCATTTAACTTCTTGTGGCCAAAGAGAAAGTGGGTGATGACCAAAGGAAAAGAGATAGAGCTGCAGATACACAAGATAATCTGTCAAACAGATGTTCTTTGTGGGCGGGTTTAGCAGGCGGGGAGCTGTCCCCATAGAGCACAGATCTCCTGAGCTTAAAAGGACCTCTTTTGACAACTAAGAAACCTCCCCGTTTCTGAGGAGCCCTAATTAGATGCCTTATTTGGTGGTGGTAATGGTGCTTTTAGCAAATGATAGCAAACCTCAGTGGCCCTTCCCACCTTAATATTTCCAGCCAATCTTGGGGAGCACCTGATCACATGGAGACAGATTTGATTCATCCTCAGCAGATACAATTTGACAAAGGGGATTATGAATTAGGACAGTATGCCAGGAAAAAATTCTGAATTTAATTTGTAAGATCATCGAAAACTCCTTATCCCATAGTCCTGCTTTGAGCCCTAGATGCTCTAATAGAAAATTAGTAAAGAAACAGAAAATAGTGTTAGGCTGCTGGAAAAGGAGGCAACTGTCACATCAGGGGACACGACACCGTATTACCTTTCAGTGCAGGGCTGTTGTCATTTGAACTGCATGTCTTTGGTGCTGACCATGGAGTAGGAGGAGGTTTGACATTGCTCTCTGACCAGCCTAATATTCAAAACCAGAGGACATTAGATCTAACAAAAGCAGTCACACCAACCCACCAGATGCTGGGCACAGACATGGTTCTCAACCATGGTGGCTCCTAAAGAGAGGGCAAAGGGTGGTATGACAAGACCCTTCTCCATGTTTCTTGCACTGGAATATGTTTCAGGGGACAAGAGGTTGGTATAATCATGTCCAATTCAAAAATATGGAAAGCCAAGGAAAAGATCAGATTTTGAAAGGCACACAAGAAATTACTAAAATTTAAGCATTTTTGCTTTTTTTTAGGTTTATGCCCATTTTTTCTTCCCAACTACGGTCCTTTCATGATCACACCAAAGATCATCAATAGTGCGCCAAGGAAATCAAGGCCCTTGCTTTTCTGTCAAAAATAGGGAAAGCTTAAAAGAGAACACCATTATATGTGGCAGTAGCACTAGTAGACTTTCCAAGTCTACTGCCAATGTGGTCCAGTTCATTCATTTTCTACACAGCTAATTTAAATTGGGAGGCTTAATTAATATTGACAAATWAATGGCAGCCCCCAGCCCAAACATATGAGGGGAAAGAAAGTCTTCTTTATATCTTTACGCTATAACTTAAAATGGCACTTAGCTTTTGTGACTCAACATGCTGTGTGGCTCATGCGCCAAACCTACCAATGGATGGGGGATTAGGCAGTGTTCAACACTCCTGTTCTAGAGATGCAAGCCTGATACCTTGCACCATTTACTGTGTATCCTGGATATTTCTGCAGGACTCATGTTTAATTAGAACCTTACCATATACTTCTTTGTACCTCTGCTTAAATTCTTTGTGTGTTAAGTCTTGTCCTTTGAGAGAGACAAGGAATTTTTCTTCAATGGGCTCCAAAATAGTTAACACAGAACAGGTAGACATTTGCTGATTAAGTCCTGTTGTTTCTCCCTGTAAAATGTAGACCATCAGGTTTTGTCTCCGTCTTCAAGAGAGACTTATGTTTGGATGGAAGAGTTCAGATGGAGCAGAGAAGTTAGTTTCCAGAGCAAGAAGCCACTCAGTAGATACCACAAAATTGTAGAATTTAATGCCATTTGTTTACCCTGTCATTCTAAGATTCATTCTTTGCAGAAGACTTAATTATAGAGTCTTACTGTATTTATTAGTTTGTATTTTTGTCCCCTCTCCGCAAGCCACGAGTGTCTCAAAGCCAGGGGCCAYGTATTATTTCTTTTTAGATTCCTCAGCACTCTGCTTGGGGCTCCATGGGGGTTTAAATGTATGACCATTGAATTAGGATGAACTATTAAAATGTGAGGACTGTACTTCTGAAGTATTTGAAGAGCTGACAAAGCAGTACCTGGAACCCCGTAAATGCTGTACTACTAACTCCCTGGCATACAAGCTTGTTTATGAAGACTAACCAATGAGTAATGAAATACACAGACTGTGACCTGTTTACTTGGTCTAAAACAATGAAAAAAATATAAATGGTTCTAAAGGCCATTGCTATTCACTGAAGAGGTGCTTGAACATACTGTTAACATGATTCATAAACAACCACAGCCACGGATGTGAAGGGAGTCTTCTGGGATGATGGAAAGGTTCTAACCCTGAGCTACGGTGACAGTTGTACAATGTACATTTATGAGAAAACTTTGAACTGTTCCAGCATATAAATTAGACTCTAATAAAACAATTTTAAAGAAATTACCAGTATTTGGTGTGATCCAGGAATAACATAACCTCCTGGTTCCTAGAAAACTGGCCCACAACCATTTTTCCTTCTGGACCCAAATCACATAAAAGTGGTAAATGTGGAAAGTGAACATTGTGGTTCCAGTGCGTGCCAAATAACACCAGTCACAGGGAAAGCTGAGAGGGGTCTAATCTAACTGGGCAACACCCTTTCCACTGCAGTCCTGCCCCCAACCAAGTGCAGTCAGAACCCCTGCTGCCTCTCCACTAACCCCTGCAGCCTGGCCTCATTCTCCCAGGTTGGTGGTTTGTAAGTGTGAAACCCTCACCAGCATTATGAGCATCAACAATGAGTTCSTTAGAAACGCAAATTCATGGGACAGTGCTGACCTACAGGATCAGAATCCCTGGGATRGAGCTCAGGAACCTGTTTTAACCAACAGCAACTGTTATGTGAATGGAGTATAGGAAGCACTGCTTTAGAGGGAGCAGAAGCTGCCTGCATCAGCAGATCCCTTAGGACTGTAGCAGGTCTTTGAGGCCAGAGCCAGGACAAGGAGAGAGGCCCTCCTAGGAAGYAGAAGGCCCACTTCAGGATCCCACCTTCCTTTAAGTTCTTGGCTTGTGTTGTGCTCTCTGAGTTTATGAAGGCACTTTTCTAGAGAGAAGTCTAGTAGTTAAGGCCAGGTGAGGGGTACAGGGGTCGGGCCTCCCTGATCTCCACATGCTATTCTGTACACTGGGAGCACATCAAGAAAATGCATCCCTTTTGCAAAAAAAAAAAGAAAAAGAAAAAGAAAGAAAGAAAGAAAGAAAAATGCACAACACTCATTTTCAAAAACAGCTCCAGAGAACTGGAAAAGAGAGGCAGATTCAGAGCACTGTAGTTTTCAGAGAATGAAATGAAACACATTCTTCAAAGGAGACAGAAAACAATCTACATGCAAAAATAGAGTGCGACCATCCTTTGTGTAATGTGCATGTACCTGAAAAACCAGA